ACAACAAATCCAGTTAAGACAGTGAAGTCTCCTGCTGTGACTGCTGCCAATGCTCCATGCACCACTGTGGGATTTGCTGATGCTCAGTGCCAGGATTTGACACCAGCGGGCTCACAGAACGTTCTCAGAAATAAGATGCTGGAGGGACAATTGCTCCAAACTCCCCATTAAACTACAGATTGTCACCAATTATTCCAAATGGAGATTTACCATCACATCCTGTCACAACTCAGAGGCAGGAATAAAACACATACACTCATTCCACTTAGATGTGGATATCAAGCATGTATGTTAATGTACTTTATGAGATGCAGCAGTTTAAGAGGCACTTCACAATGAGACCTGACTGAGTCACTCTATGGGGGAGGCAAGTGTTAATTAGCCATTCAAGCACAAGACATGACATCAGGTCTAACAAAGAAACACAGACATCTCCATGGATGTAAACTCCTTCTAATTTTAATTAAAAAAAATAGCCAGGCTCTTGGATGAGAAGCAAATACAATAAATTTTGGAGAGATGGAATTTCTCTGGATCCACGAGGTGACTTCAGTGATGCAGTTCTTTAAGAAGGAAAACATGCACCAGCATGAAGCAGTTTTTCCTATCAGTTGCTGTTTCAAGAGGCAGGATAAAATGGGTCTGGCTTGTGAGAAGAGCATTGCCAACATGGGGGAAGAAGGAAGCATCTCTAAATTAACTTTTGTGCAGACAGATTAAAAATTAGGGCAAATTAAGACACTTGTAACTGCATCTGTTTTGAATATTGTAAAACTAAAATATTTTACATTTTGGGACATGACAAAGGGGAATGGCTTTAACCTGCCAGAGGGGAGACTGAGATGACATCTTAGGGGGAAATTCTTCCCTGTGAGGGTGCTGAGGTGCTAGCACAGGGTGCCCAGAGAAGCTGTGGCTGCCCCATCCCTGGCAGTGTTCAAGGCCAGCTTGGACACAGGGGCTTGGAGCAACCTGCTCTCGTGGAAGGTGTCCCTGCCCGTGGCAGGGGTTGGAGCTGGATGAGCTTTAAGGTTCCTTCCAACTCAAACCACTCTATGATTCTATGACTAACAAGTGACAACAAAAAAACAACTTCCTTTGATAAGTGGTAGTCAGAAAGGTTGTATGGGGAGCAGCAAGACACTGGGGTGCGTTTCTGAGCCTGCAAGTTCCCAAAACAGCTTGTCACACTGACACACTTATTTTTATTGTTTGTGTGCTCTGGGCACCAGCCGCTATTGCTGATGGGCACCCCACTGCATGGGGAACCAGGCTGTTCACAAATCCCTCATGAACCCATAACTGAATCACAAAGCCTAAAAGCGTATCTTAACATGAGGTTTTTCAACATGTGGTTTAACAGTGAGGTAAGGGTACCCAGCCTTTACTGATTCCAAGTCTTAATCACACACTGGGTACGATAAATGAGAACTTACTGGGAAGTTGTCCTGAGTGAGAGCCATTTTATTGCACATTTCCACAAAATGCTTCAAGTACTCTTCATCCAGGATCAGGTAAACAGGGACGTGCCGCCTGCTTGAGGCCTCCAGCAGGTCACACAGTATTTCCATGTCTGTAAACAGATCCATCACAATTGCTATCACCTAGCCAGGAGAAAAGAGGTAAAAGGCTGTTGAAATCTCATGCCCAAGTGAATTGTGCTTTAAACTGTGAATTAAATAGTCAAATCTCCCGAGTTACTGAGCATCTGTGGCCACATGACTGGAGACTGATTCTGGACCTCTGAACCTCACCCCACCATGGCAGATAAAATCACTTTTAATAACCGTGAAGACATTCCCCATCCAGCTACCTCCCTTCTCATCCATCATTCACAGAAAGAAGTAGCTGAAAGGGTAATGCCTGTGCACGAACTGAGTATCATTGATGCAACAAATATGCATGGCCTTAAGCACATATGCCAGAAATACAGCATAGGAACGGAACAGCTGAGACTGACCAAAATCATTATTCAATTGGTATGAGTGACTCCACAGATGACTATCATATTCATATAAAGAAGTATCATTTTTTTCAGGAAGGACACACTGCCACGTAAGGGAGAAGGTATTTTGATCAAGTATGTGCATGTCCACGTTCCAAGATTACATCCTAGGGGCAAACAGACAAAACTAGAATCAGGCGTGTGGGAAGGATCCCTTCCCTCTCCTGCTGGCAGCACTCCTGCTAACGTAGCCCGGGATGCAAGCTATGGTTATGAAACCCAACGGCAGGAAGAAACAGTAACACTAATGTTATTTAAAAGAAAAAAGAAACTGAAGACTTGCCAGAAAAGGTCTCCAAGGGAGGGGTTTTGAAAAGGAAAAAATATTTAAAGGGAACTGCCAGTTCTTTAAGGAATGAGACTGAAGAAAGCCATGGCTTTCTTCAAAGATCCATCTGTTGGCTACCACTATTAGTGACAGGAATCAGGGGACATCTTGGAGAAGGAAGGAAGAGGCAGGAGAGCACTTTCTGAGCTGGACAATTTGTCAGACCTGGCACACGTCACCTGAGGTTGCTTGCAGAGTCATCCACTGACTTAGACCTTGAACCACTAACAGTTAACACTGAGAACTCATGCAAGAAGGCAACACACTGGGGGAGTGAGAAAGGTAAAGTAGTGAAGGATTTACCAACAGGCCAGCTGCGTTTCAAAAGCTGAAAAAGTAATGGAACTGCTGACAAAGTACTTCAGTCTCAGTCTTTGCCATATCTTGGCAGTTGATAAGGTAACTTCAGTACTTGTAAGTTGTGTGCATAACTCTGGTTTTGAGTTTCTACAACTAGTAGAGGATGCTCAAATAAAGATGGCCTAAAAAGTGCTCAGTTTTGGAGTGAAGATCCAATGGCCTATTTACCCTGCTATTCAATGTTCATGCCCTTTACTACACCTTGCACACCAAATGCATGACACTGTTCTGCCGCTCATCAGGTACTCCACGAGGAGGTAGGAATCCTGTTTTGAAATACCTCCTCTGCCTGTGTTTGAGCACGGCCATGAATCAATTCTCTATAGTTCAAATCACCCTATGAAACAGACCATGTAGGGTGAGCTTTCCTCTGTCACTTCTGCTCAGCTGCCCCTCTTCAAACAAAGAGTTAATGCAGAAGACAGCAGTGAGGCTGGCTTTTATGTGTGAGTGGGTCTGAACTGGAATAGTTTCTGAAGAGTAGAGGAGCTCCAAGTATCACTGTCCTTGGGCGTGGGGACAGACTCATGTCTCTGCTCCAGACTGGCACGTTGGCCCCAGATCACCCACTGCCCAGTGGCTCTTCTGCTCTGTTTTCATTAATGAACTGCCTCTTTCCAGGCTCATAACCACAGCCTAAGTGCTGAGTGGAGGGAACTGCCATGGGCAGAGCAGGGCCCCATTCGGTTCTCCTTGCTCTCCTGACCAGTCTCTTGCTTGGCAAGCTGGCTCCCCTCAGCCCTGCTCTGCCTGCACACACATGGAGACATGTTATGGTCTCTCCATACATGGAGAGACCCTCTGCACCAAGCCATGGCAGAGGAGGGCAGCCATGCCAAAAGGTTGCTTCCTGCTCCCTTTGGGATTTATCCCTTTTGCAGATGTATGAGATTTCTTGGCTCTGTCCAATCTGTCCCCAGAGACAATCTCTGTGATGATGCCTTGCACACTGTCATTAGTCCTCAGCATCTTGCAGAAGATCTCCAGCCCCAGCTCACCGCAGCAGAGTTTGGGCAAGAACCTTCCTGGAGGCTGGTGTGATCCCAGGCATCCACATGGGACAAAAGCCGTCATCAAGAACTAAAAATCACTCCTACTGTCCACATCTCCACCCTCTCACCCTGGCCCTGGGAGATACATGCTTCAAAGCCTGACTCCAAAGTGCATCTCTTATATAGCTCTCACTATTGTCTTGCCAGATGTCTTACGAGGCTCTCACAAACTCCTCTGCCCTCCTGAAATGCACCCATCTGGCATGGACAGGAGCATCAGCCCTGGAAGAGCTCTGAAAGCACTAAGAAGTATCTCCAACTTCCCAAATTAATGTTGCTGCTGGACTACCAGCATTAGGTACTGTTGACACCCAACAGAAAAAAGCAGAACTTCACCATGTCTTTCCACACTGGCTTTCCACCAAAGACCAAAGGCAATTTAGCCAAATGACTTTGATGGGCCACCTGTCCTCTAATGATAAAGCACCAAGAAAAAACTATAGCCCAAACCTTGTGTAAGGCCTCGGGCAAGTCCCTCTCAGCCACACTTGCCTCACAATATTCCAGTTCATATCAAGCTTAGGTCTGAGGCAGGCTTGGCCTGGAGACAATCTGAACTTGCCTTAGGAAGTCAGTATAATGGGGTCAAGATGCTCCTTTGTCCTCAGTGCTCAGAGGCACTGCTTGTACCTAATGGAGACAGAAGGTCCTACTGCTTGTACCTAATGGAGACACGAGGTCCACACCATCTTGCTTTTCTCTGCCAGTGCTCAGATGCTCTGGCAGGGCTCGGTGCTGTTCCTTGCTCCAACCCAGCGCTGCCAGTCTACAGCACTCGCTGTGCTAGAGATGGGGCTGAGCAGGCTATAGCTGTGCGTGGCAGCATGTGGCACAGTCACTGGTGGCACCCAGTGCCCTGGGCTGGGTGCAGGAAGACCTGCAGCTCCCGGAGCCGCGTGGCTCCGGCGTCAGCGCGCACCCGGGCAGCAGGACGCCGGCTTGTGCAAGCTGGGTGGAGCCCTGTGGATAGACTCGAGTGTGCCAGAGCGCGGCTTCACTCCGCTGCAGGAGGTGGGACAGGCTGCGGCTCTGTTCGTGGCCTCCTCACAGGAGGGATTTGGGTAGAGCTGCTCCTGCTGGTGCTGGCAAGCACCTGAAGCCAACGCCAAGCAAGCGGGCTGGCAAGCCCCCGAGCATTGCAGTTTGCAGCGGGGAGAAAGGGGAGGTTGTGTCCTGCTGCAGCCTCACATGGCGGAGATGAAGACACCCGTGGTGGGGCTGCTCATTCTAAACAAGATAACCATAAGGGCCACTCAGATCACCACATCCTCTTGGTAAACAAAGCAGGCAGCTTTTATAGTAACATCAGCTCAACCCCAAAGCCAAGAAGTTCTGGGGGAAGAAGAATTTGGAAATCTACTCCCTGAAGCCTCCTAAGAACATACAGTCACAAAAGTGAGGTGTAAAGCCTCAAAGATCATTTCCAACACTTCTAGAAAGCAGTGGAAGTTAAGTACCTAAGCACCACCTCCAATTCAGGCTCCTGTCAACTCATGTCTCACATTTAAAAGACTTGGGCGTTTAAGTCAATCTGGCCTTACAAAGCCAAGCAACTTACATCCAGTGCCTCTAGCCCCTCGGTTTCAGTGGTGGGACCTGCAAAGCTCAGAGCATCCCAGTTCCTTCCTCTCCATGCTAATCATGACCTCCAAGCTCATGGCACAGCCTTGGGGGGTCAGGACATTGCAAAGACACTGCTGCCCACAGGCTCTGGAAGATTCACACCTCACCATTGTAGGGTTAAACCATGGCATTTCTAAATCCACTTCTGGAAACTCACAATTCAGCAATTACTGCAGTCACCACCTTGGGAATTACAGCACTAACAGCATCCCACTGGGGTTGCCACCTGTCTGGTTTCTAACCAGCACATCTGGTTTTACTGGTATTTGCCAATAGCAGTGTGGCTTTGGTCATTACCGTAGCATTGCCATTTGAAACAATACATTGCTTCTCTGGGACCATCAGGGACCCTTCTACCACTGCATGTAAATGCAGATGTGCAGCCAGTGTCAGAGTTGTACAAGAGGGATGAAAGAAGCAGAATTGGACAGTTCAAATCAGATTGGAACTCGTTCAACTAAACTAAAATTGTAATAGTATTATCAAATGAAGGCTAAGGTGTGGCTGTGCTACATCTTCTTATGTCTGCGAAGAGAAAAGCTCAAATCTCAAAATACATCTTCAAAGAGAGCTGGTTAAATACAGCAAAGTAGAAAGACAAACTGCACCAGCAAAAGGTACCAATAAAACAAATGCCCTTTCTGCTGATTTGTCAGTACAAATATGCTGTTGCAAAATATGTCAGCTGATGATGTTCTCTATGACTGTACAGGAGAAAACAGCAAACATTTCCAGACGCACACCTTCCTGTTTACAGGAGCCAGGTAAAACATTCAGGGATCTCAACATCTTTCCCACATCCCACCAGCACCATATCTCCCTTCCATGTCAGCTGTAAGCACACAGGAGAAAAAACATTCTAAAGGAGGGATATATGATGAGAGCATAAAGTTTAGTGGAGAAAATACTTGAAATGAAGTTGAAAAGCAAGAAAGCAGTGAGTTCTCTTCACAGTTGCTACTGGCAATTCAAGCAAAAGATGTTTTAACTTCTGGTTGCTCTTTTGTCATTAAAGGACATACAGGTAACATCCTTTCAGATGGTTTGATGGGCAAAATGACTCAGCAAGTACTTAAAGATGTGTAACTGTGGTTGTGAATGAGCTGGAACTGCTGTCAATCATAAACTTAATCATGGGAAGCACTGGCCAGAGCTGGTAACCTAGAAGCCAGTAAACCACCAGTAATAAACCAGTAAGATGGGTGAAAACTCATTCTCGCACATAATGCAACAGTCAAAAACACTGTGAAAATCTTGACCATAAAGGGCTGAAGATTGTCAGTGCTTTTTCAAGCCAAGCAAAGAAAGGAAAAAGCTCAAAATATACTTAAAGTACAGTAAGGCACCTACTGCCTGGGCAACCTCCCTGCAGCAATAGAGAAGTTCCTGTGGACTGAGAAAGCAGCAAGATGTTTTTCATGTGGTTTAAAGGATCATAATACCGTCAGAGATCCGGGACACGTGCTAAGTGACAAGAGGACATGTCTTAGTAGCCATTTACTTTGTGCATTCTGCCATGACTATGTCTCAATCCCCATTGCTGAAAAGGATGCAGTCGGTGTCACAGGACTTTTCAGATCATTTAAAGTATCATAAATCAGCTGCCTGCAAGAACAAACCAACCTTTTTGTCACTTACTTCCTGGACAAAACTTCCTGTATTTGCCTATAAAGGTGCAATGGAAGTTCAGGCTTTAAGCAATGGCTACTTACAATGGAGCAGTTGCTTACATGGCAAAACAGTTGTCTTTGGGACAAACAAAAAAGATATCCCCATTTACCTCACATCACACCCAAATTTCAATGTTCTGTGGTTCTTTGATGATGTTATGATGCTGCACAGCAACCTGAGCTGCTCCATGGCCCCAGATTTATTTGCTGGGGACAGCATAACTTCACTCTACTCTGCAGATGGTGACAGAAGATAAGAAGACAGCACTTCAGGTCAGCCTGCCTGGAAACTGCGCGTGTTCTTGACGCAGCTGAACTCCAGGTTTAACAATTCTTCATCTCCTTTCTGCACTAGGCAGCAATCAATGTAAGGAGTGACTATAAAGCTAAATAAGAAGCTACAGGACTGATAAGAGAAACTGGCTAGAAGCTGACTGGTTAAAAGTGAACTTTGCACTAAAAGCTTACTCATGCTATTGAAATTAAATACTACAAAAGAAGACTAACATGGGACAGATGTAAAGAACCATAAAGAAGACAAAGACAATAAAAGCTGAAAATGTGTCTGAAAAACAATTGTCCGAGCTGCTGCTTTAGTACACAGTATAGTGGCAAAGTAAAAGGAAAAAAGAAGGAGCATAATTTAGTGAGTAAATTCACCCCAGGATTGTGCTTTTTAGGTAAATATTGTAGTTGTCCAGCTTTTATTACATCCAAGTGTTGGCAATCTCTACCCAGCAGAAATTGTGCAATGGGGCAAAATGGGCTGATCTTACTCATCCTCAGAGAGAAGCACAGACATCAAGTCTAGAAGATATGATGATGTATTCTAACCTACTTCAAACCACAGGCTTTCAGTCCCACAAGTTAACTCAGGTCCTTCGTTCTCTCACAGCAACTCACCTGTGGTATCCTCTTATCCTGCTTGTCCAGGGGTCAAGAAAAGCCCTGACTGTGCCAACTCCTTGGCAGAGGCAGAAGGGCTGACTGGTGCACACTTGCCAGCTGAGGGCAGCTAAGCATTAATGCTGCACACCCTGCCACTCACTCGCTCCAGGCTTGGATACCATGCTCTGCATGCCCACAAACACAGTGCAAGGTGCCTTAAAGGGCACTGCCCGTATGGCATGAAATCCCAGGCGTAAAAAATTACAGGAAAGGAAAGGAGCAGGAACAGTTACAGATCTGCTAGGGAAAAAGCAATCACAGCATGTCAGACACCTAGAGAGCAGCAACAGCTTGGAGCGTGAGGTGTACAGCTGTGGGACCAGCCACCAGGACTTGGGTGCTGTGACACAAGACCCCACTCAAGGGACACAGCTCTATACATACCGTCCGTGCCCGGCTGATCAGAGACCGGAGCAAATCCTTAATGCTGTTGGCTTTGTTTCTTTGGAAAATCACAGTGGCTTGAGTCTGGCCAGCTGCTGTGAGGAGGGGCATCCCTGGCCAGCCCAGCTCCAGCTCTGGAGGGTGCACATCAGACATCAGTGGAAAGTAGGTGCCAGATGTTAGTTCAGAGTTGAGGGAGGACCTATCTGCGGTGTCCACATCACCAGGGTCAGCATCTTTATCTTTCATTGCACTGGGATCTGGAAAGCTTTGATTTCTCTGATGGCTCATATATTCCATGTCCAGGGTGGAAAGAAAAGGCAGCTCCCGTTCCTCAGTGATGGCATTCAGGTAGCCACGTTCGCCCTGCTCAAGAAAGGCATCTATAGCAAGCCTGGCTGTTTCACTGTGCTGGAGCACCAGTGGCGTGGGCTCCCTCCACCACGGCTTCTTCAGTTGCTCTAGACGGCTCTTCAGTGGCCCAGACACCCCTTGCTGTCCCCCATAGTTGCGGTGGAACTGTGGTCTCACCTCTACTGCTAGGTAGTTGAACATGACTGGAACTGTTGCTGCTAGGAAGTGCCTCTCCAGCTGGATTAGTCCCCTGTCTGGTTCCAGGTCTTTTCTGGCCCTCCTGCACTCCTGAGCTCCTCCCAACAGGTTCCTTCAGGACTCAGCATAAGCTCCACTCCTCTGCTTGGGAGTTAATTACCAGGTACAGCCTCCCACTCTGTGGGAGGAGCTGGCTTTCCCCAGCTTCGTCCTTGACTTCCCCAGAAACACACCTTACACTCAGTGCTTAGAGTATCCCTTTTGCAAGGGAAGATGATCAGCTCTTCAAGCTGCTCCTTCCCTTTCCTTGTAACTGATTCATGTGCTGCTGCCCTCCCCTTCCCTACTGAGAGGTCCCCACCCTTGGCCAAGCAGGCTCTAACCTGTTTTGTCCCTCATTGTGCTCACAGTGGAAATGCAGATGCTGAAACTTGTTCCTGCTTGAAATTTGTTCCAAATCAAACATGATTCTCAGTGTCAGTTATAATGAAATACAAATATCCCAAGTGGGTAATCAGACTTGGCCAAGAAACTTCTTCATCCCTGAGCCACAGGTAACACTCCTCAGCATTTCTTAGCCCAAGCTCTGCTTGGCATCTGGCAGAGAAGTCAAAACAACATCTTTTTTGATATCACTGGGTCACAGTAAGAGACAGCTCATGTTGTTAGATACTCCAGGCTACAAGAGCAATACCTCATGTGGTCTTTTATCATCTCCCTGGAAATCCTTCAAGAAAGAGGCATTCAAACTTAGGAACCTGGTGCTATGTGAATTATGATGCTGTCCACATGCTGTGTATTCTGGGAACGGTTAACTCCAGCTTCCCAAAAGCATCATGAAGCTGTTTTTTGAGAAATAATACAGGCAGACGTTAATACGTGATTTAAAACGCTGTGTTAGGAACACACCACCCAGAACACAATGCAGCACATGAAAACCTGTGCAGAGGAGGCACACCAGTCCCCAGACTGCAGTGTGGACCTCCCCCACCCCAACCAGCTCACTTAACCTGAAGCTACTAAACTCCACAGAGGCTAACCAGAGAATGAAGAACTGGCTGGAGAGTTGATCTAATCAGCCAGCCTTTTATCTACAAGTTACAAAAACCCTGTGAATTAAATTCATCCAGGCTAAATTAAGTCATCTAAAAGCTAAATGTCTGCCCTCAGACTGGGCTGCAGTCAATGCAGAGACAGCCATGCCTAAGTGTGAACCAGCACATTCAGACACCAAGTTTCAAGTCAGCTGGGATGAATCATGTCCCCAAGGGACTATCACTATCCATGAACTGGAGTGGGATGATTAGTTTAGATTAGCTGTCTAGTCTTTAGATCCCTGAAGTCAGAACAAACTCTTACTAGGACCGTGCAAACTGCAAGAACAGAAGCTTTAACCAGAAGATGTAAGTTGCCTGCCAGAGCTGTGCTGCAATGCAGCAGGCAGGCACAAAGCCAGCAGTGACAACAGATATGGGACAAAACTGTAATACAGCTGCTGGCACAAGTGTAAGTAAGTGTTAGAGCAATCTGAAGAACAACATTAACTTAAAATGGGAGGTGAACAGCCAAACACAATGGGAGGAAGTTTGGGGAATAAAGAAATGGAAGCAGTTATAACATGACGGGTCTTCTTCTGGAGCTGCTTTGCCAGGGTGATAATATCACCTTGGTGATAACATCAAAGAAGGGTAACATCACCCTACTTTTTGCCTTCCTACAGCACTGAAAAGAGTGTGAATGTTAAAACAGTCATCAAATGTGTACTTTCTGCCAGATGAACAACTGCTGCTGATTCTGTAAAGCAAAGGGATTTCCACTGTCTCCAGCTGGTATTTGGTAATGATCTACTCTCCCTGCAGTAATTTCTCATGGACCTCAGCACATGAAAGTACATGGGATGTCATCTCCAGCCCAGCTTGTCAGGCTGGGCTTCTTCAGTTGGTGGTGGGGAGAGGCAATGATTTCTGGGGAGCCAGTTACCTCACCTACAGCAGACATCTGAAACAGGTCAGATGAAATGTGCTGATCTCCACTGAGCAGGAGAGCTCGGGCTGACACTCAGTGACAGAGGTTTACCGCGCAGACATCTAAAATTAGACGAGAGGTATCCTGCCCCTGCTGTCTGGGAAAGAGATAAATGTCTGTAATTGGCACTCCACAGGCTGATTGGCCACCACAGGATGTGGGAATCGCATAAGCCAATTTTTTGCCAGCTAAAAGCAAAGGATCTTATCTGGAAAGTGTTGTCTACACACCTTCTGCAATCAGCAGAGAAAGACAAGGGGAAAATTCCCTCTAGCTAAACACACACACCAAGCCCCACTTTCAAGGCAATGTCCCTAGGCAGTTATACTCTGATACCTGAGCTCTGTCAGAATCCAAGCATTAGGCAATACTTCATTCTTGTGTCCCACCACAGATGTTCTTGGAGCTCAAACACTAACACCTTGCCTAGGCTTTCCACAAATGTACCTGCTGCTTCCTCTTCAAGCAGAAATGGAAGGAAGCCTGCCAACTTGCTTCACCATAGAACAGTTCTTGGACAGCACTCACCTGGGAACACAAGAAGCCTTTCCCCCTGCTCTTTGTTTCAGACTGAAATCCACATCTTCCACCACAAAACATCATGGTGCTCAAACACACTTACTTCACAGGCATTTCTGGAAGGCATTTGCATAGCAATGTTCCACTGTGCAGAACTCACTGGCCAGATACAAACAGCAAGTACAGCTAGAGGAGAAAAGTCCAAACTTTAGTTACTGCCCAGGGATCTGTGTCAGCACTGGACTCCCAGACAGAGCAGTGCAGTCAAGTCTCTCAGAGTTTTGTCCACAGGTTCCTGACGACAGCGTTACAGAATCATCCTTCTCAACACAGCAGCAGCATACAAATTCCTTGTGTTTTAAGACTTCCAAATTAGGGGAGAGCTCTGCACATGCTCAGCTGAAGGAGGGCACTGGATACCAGCTGCCAGCTAAAGACCAGATGATCTCACTGCCACTGTTGGCAGAGGGAAAGTAGACAACCCTACCTGCTCTGCTGGCTCCCTGCTCACTGGTGTGCCCAGCATGGCGGTTCTTTCCAGTTGCTGCTCTGAGTCCCTTCCACCCATGTGTCATGTAGGGAAGCCAACATGTGGGCATGGAGTTGCTCTGGTGGCAGTTCTGAGGTCCAGCCCTGGGCTGCTCAGGGTGCTGCTTCAGAGCTGTCATGAGAAGGACCACAGCATGCCTCTTGCCTAAGCTGCTGCCCTGTGCTGAACGTGTGAAAAAACACTTTCAGACACTTCTTCCTTCTCTCCTTCCAAAAGAAACATACAGAAATAGAACTGGGCATTGCAACATCAATGGGTCTAGTTGCCAGCAGGAAGAGGGCATGAAGGGAGGGATGTGGGACAACAAGCATAATCTCATATGATGCCTAGCTTTGACAGGATGTGGAGCAGCCCAGAAGGCTGCAGGAGGGATGAGGAATGAAGGAGCCCAGCTCACTCTCTCAGTCAGTGAGGTATTCATTAATGAAGGCTTTGCATGTGCAAGACTCCTTGCTTCCTAAGTAAGTATGACGGAGCTCTTACCTCCTGGGAGAGCTGCAGTATCCTACCAACACCACCAGGATCCAGTCTCAGCACCACGTTGTGGGGTCCTCAATGAACATACCTGCACAAGACAAGAACAGGACAGTTGATATTTCTGGTTCCTGCGCTTGCATGAAGGAAACTGTTTACACTAGTGTGCCCCAGGTCCCTCAAGAACATCCACTGCCAGTTTTCCTAAACCCCCTGGCTGCTCCCAGCACATCCATAACAGCAGAAGGGGGAATCATGCTAGTGTGAGCTCCTGCTCTGCATTCCCAGTGGAAGGACGAGGCCCAAACATCTCTTCTGTCCCACAGATGAGCAGAGCAAGCTGTTAGGCAGGTTGAATGACTGTAAGCAAAACAAGTACTCTCTCAACATGTTCAGCAACTTCAGGAAGAACACATGTAGGATGCACAGGACAGCCCTACACACCTGAAGAAAGGGCAGCAGTTATAAAAAGCTCACCAGAGGAGTCTGGGGAGAATCAAGATAGATGCTAATAATACACAAGTGCCCCATCACAGTGCGAGAGGCCAGGCAGCCCCCAGCACCAGTGGGTGACCCTCCTTTTGCAGGCAAAGGAGAGATGGATACTTCATAACCAGACCACAACTGCCTAAGCAGCAGAGCCTCCCATTCACTCATGAGGAGCCTCAGGGTCTTTCCTGTGTTCTTGCCAACTTTTCCTGTGTAAGCTTCTGCCATCTCCTTGGCTCCTCAGACCTTCAGAAAAAGAGGCAGCACTGAGGGCCAGGCTGTGCAGACACAGTATGCCCAAAAGATGGGGATATTGCTCCCTAAGGCACGCTGCAGAGTGGCAGGATTACCATCACCCAGGCTCCTG